CACTCCCGCCAATCCCAAAACTGGCACTATAATGTTCTAGTGTTTCCCATCTCAAAATGCCAGGAAACAATGGCAGCAGTCTTTAGCAGCTGTGATCAGAGATGGCTCTGGGAAGTGCAAAAAGGGGATTCAGGACCACATGCAGCCTTAGGGCCTCAAGTTGCCCGCCAGTATCTTTGCCACTGTTGCCAGCTATTGTTACTAGCTATTCCTCTTCCCCAACATTTCTACCATTTGGTTGCTGGCCGAGTAAAGGTCCTACTAACAAGCTAGTTGTGGCAGCTTTAGTTTTCCTAGTTACTATCACAAGTGGTAGATGTGAAGGGAGGTACAAGCAATGCTGAAAAGGAGGAATCCTATGAAGGCTCTTGTAGAGGGCCCTTTTAAAAAAATTACCCTTGATAGGGTAACCATGGTGATCCTTGGTGTAAGTCCCATCTCCAATCCTGCTGTCTACATAGAGGAGAAGCTCAGGCCAGTCTCAAAAGTTACAACAGACTGTGCACATATCTGGCTTCAGATAATTCTCTGAGGCAAGAAAGGAAAGTGTTAAGTTTTGAGCCTGGGCTTTTCCCTCTTAAGCAAACAGTGAGCCCAATAAATTCTTGCTCAAAATATCCATAGCAATTACAGGATGATTTTATTTTAAAACATTTAATGAATGCGGATGTTAATAACATCAGCACATGGAGAGAAAAATACATCTAACTGATAACTTCTTCTTGTATTCATTCATAAGGCTATTATCACCTGGCAGCACTTCTGGAGAGGTAAAGGAAGGCATGTGATAGTGAAAGTGGGCTCTCCATGCCTATGTTAAGGCACAATCCATATTTGGCAATCAATGTTTTTCCTCTTAGCATTAAGTTATAATGTATTCTTGGCAATAAAATCTCACTGGTATTAAAAAAGAGAGAGCAACGCAATACATTTATCAGCATATACGTTTTGCATAAGGATCACCTGAACGATGAGTTTCCATGTTTCCCAGAGAAAACTCTCTAGTTTATGTAATAGCTATTGACTCTATTGGAAAGCCTGTCTATGGATTACTAGATGATGTAGAATTATTAAGGTTTACCTCAGTTTCTTGTAATGGAGATTCCTCGTTCACTTGCCTATTTCTGTCCCCCAAGATTATTAGACCTTGCTCAGGGGTTTAATCATGTCAGTGTCCTAGAACAGAGGGCAGGGGAGGTTTCATTCCAGTAATTGGTGTCCAAAAACACTCATTCATATTCATTTCATTTATATGTGAAAATATAAAGCAATAGAAATGGAGTTTCAATAATATAAAGAGTTGGATATGAATGAAACCTAGGGTGTCACATATAAGTGAATGTGCTTTGTTGAACTGGTGCTTGCAGGAACTGAGCAATGTCAGTTGGCTTGGTAGCTCAGCACAAAATAGGGGCTCAGGCAGATGTCACTATCTGCTTTGGGGGAATCTCCCTGAAAAGTACATCCATCCTCTTGGTTCCTTCTATTCCATACACCTGCTACAGGAACATCTCTACAGAGACTCTCCAGCATAATATAAATAAATGAAATAGAGTTTACAGTCATCTCTCAGGTTTCCCATGCAGCTGTCCTGAGTGACATACATTGAACTAAATACATTTTATGCAGTCTTAAGCTCTCAAAAATTACTTCCAACAGTCAAGATACACGTTACAGCTATTTCTTTTCAACAATTTATTATTTTCTTAGGCCAAGAGAAAGAAGGATGATGGACCAAAGAATCCTTTACCTGGTCCCTCCAGGTGCATTGCAGTATAAATCTCAACCTCCCTAATAAGCCCTTTTCCACACTGGATAGTTAGCTGGGAGAAGGAAGATTCTGGTTCTTGAAACTTTCCTAAATGACATTTCATTAAGCCTTTGCTATAATTTGAAATATAAGTTAAGATCTTTACATTGATACCTTTTGCTATTTCTAAAAGAAAGAGAGATTTGTCTATTGTGAGGCACTGGAATGCTTTCATATCTAATTAATGCAACAACTGAATATTCTCTTCAATTTTCCATGCTTTTGGCTGCTAGCAATGGACTACTATAGTAACAGCTGTCCTTATTCCAAACCGCTCATAGCATATCATTCCGTAACATTGTGATTCATACTGCATTGGTATTTATAATCCTTTCTATATTACTGTAAAGAAACATGGACATGCTAGAAAAAAGCCCTACTGTTCGTAAAGGGGCCTAATAAGTATTTTGCACCTTCATTTACCTGCTGCCCTTGATTGCAAACTATCAGCCAGGGCTCTGATTACCTAAGAATAATTCACAGTCTGAACCCACATTTCTCTTTACAAATAGTTGCAGAGTGGTAGGCTAGGATCTGAGAGGCTAGGTTCACTGGGTGACCCTGAGCCATCTGCTACTTCTGAGCCTAACCTATCTCCCAAGGTGGGCATGTGAGCATTAAAAGGGGTAAGACCACGTATAGAGTCTTCAGTTCACTGAAGAAAGGCAAGGTGTACATGTTAATAAATAATTCTTTAAAAATCAAAGTCCTACCTTGCTTTTAAAAAAATTAATGTAACAAAAACATGCCCTATACCAGACCAAACATTAAGCCTGGAAATTAAGCCTCCAAACTCTAAAAAAATGAAGCTGAGTGAGTTTTGACAAGAAGAGATCCAAAATACTAATTGAATTCTTTCTCTCTATGAATTGCAAAATGTACTATCTTCTTTCACTCAAATATCAATTGAAACAGAACTTAATTTTAGGAAGTAGGACTACAATATTGGTGACTGGAATCCTACTTTCTTGCCACAAACAATTAGAGTCCTCCCTTTTCTTAGTGGCTTAATCTGGAATTGCTGGAATCTATGAGAAGCCACAAATTGGGCACTGGATGAAAATGATTATATTGTTTAATTCCATCATCTGGGAAGCACTTTGGAATTTAAGTGTATTGTAAGATTTCATTTATAGGAACAAAAGTGGTCCTTTTTTCAGTGTTGGCACTGGCATACATAAGCAAAACATACAAAACAGGCTTCCCATGTTTTGTTCCATAAGGTCTCTTAAAAACTAAAAACAGAAATATTACCAGGGTGGACAACACTGCACTAGTGACTGTGTTTAAAATAAAAAATTCATTCCTCTGTTGTGTTGTTGTCGTAATCACAGAGACTAAAAAACAAATGACTATGTCTACATGGAATTCCAACTGACTTCAATGGAGCATACAGCCAGGTATGTTGGAGCAGGTCTGGAACCCAAACCTCCTTCATAAAGTCACTCCATGGTATTTATGAAGTATTTTGCATAATAATGATATTTTCTGAGAATTCATTTTAGTAGGTATTATTTGTTCAGATCTTAGGACGACAATCCTATATAAACTTACTTTGCTGCATATCCCACTGAACTCATTGGAACTAACTCCTGAGTAGATGTAGATGAGTATAACATGGCAGCTTGCCATCTCCTTTATACAGAAAAAGTATATCTGGCTTCTGTTCATTTTGTGAGATAGAAAGAGTTAAACACTCACATCACTTTGTATCAATTCTTAACCAAAGGTAACATGCAAATATATCAGACTGTTTGGAGATGTGGTATTAAGACAGACCTCCATTCATTCTGCTTTCTAAAAGTACCATTTGTGGACTGCCTACCCAGATGAAAATATATCATCAAACTTAGATTGGTTTGCGCCATGGCTAGCACAAACTTAATACAGTTGAGGAAAAAATGTTCATGGGGCAAGTCCTGCATCTAAACTATAGGCCTACGTCTGCTTCTTGGCTCTTCAGGAATCAGTGTATTAGATTTTTTTGATAAAGTGCAAAGCAAAGGCTAAGAAAACCCTTTGCTTGCCTGTTAGAACAGACATTGCTGGGCTAGATAGATTGAATCAGCCCAATTATTGAGGTAATATCATGTATGAATTCATTTCTTTCAGCAGTATCTAACTCTCTGTACTTGTCCAGGAATCTGTGCTTTTATCTTCATGTTGAAGTCTAAATCTCTAATTGTAATAACCTGAGATTAAGGGCTGATTCACAGGAAAAGATCCGAAGAAATAATTAGGTTCATATACTGTTAAAACGTGGCTTCCATAACCATGAGTTACTAAATAAATCACAACACGCTAAGCCGGAACCAAACAATCCACATTATAATTTAGTTTATTGTATGATTTTTAGTGGCTTCATATGAATGAAGAAGTCATGGGCACAGTTTGGACTGAAAGGCACCTTTGTCATGAAGTAACTGAAAATAAATTGAGAACTGGGTGCAGAATAAAGCAATATTGTACCTACATGCTGAATTTAGTCTGGATCTGCTCAGTTTGATAAACCAGTGGGTTATGTAAGTTGCCCTTTAATGGATGTTTCACATTTCCATTTAAACACACACCTGATATATTTGGATGACTATTGAACTTGCGTAATCCACTCCACCTTGTTCACCTGCTCCACGTTTTTCTGCCGCAGACATTGTTAGCATTAGCAAAGCAGACTGGATTTATGTCCATTGATTCCTGGATAGACAGATTCTTTTCCATAACCAAATCCACAGACTACCTCTAACAAAAGCCTGCTTAGCATGTGTGACCTTCATAAACGAAATCGGATAGGATTTTCGTCTGACTTGGCATGTGGTACTTCTACATTGCAAAAACAGTGGAGAAAAAACTTTAGCCTCTGGAGCGAGCAGGTGAAACCCCGGGATCTAACAGGTCAGCAAAGAACAATAATGTTTTCCCATTAAAAAAAAAAAACAGCCCCGCATAGAGGGAAGCCTTCTCCGCTGCTGGCTCTCTAAATTAGAACACCCTTTGAGGGTCTATTTTTGTTTCTCTCTCCCCCTTCCCCAGCATTCTTCCACAACATCTTTCCAGCGCTTGTTTCTGTCCTGGAAGACTCCGACACGGGGCACCATGCATTTATCTTAACAGCATCAGATGTCTTTTCCACATTGCGCTGGAAAGAACCGACGGACTATTAAATTAAATTGCAGTTAAATTAAAGACGAACCTCCCAAAGATCCTGCGGCAGTCTTTCAGCTACATCCTTCTTTCAGATCCACTGCAGACCAACTCCCCACAAGAAGCCACCATCCGGAGCTGCTCTGTTTGTCTGCAATACGAGCGCCAACGAAATAAACATGCAGCAGTTTCGAGCCAAGCACACAGACACAAAAACACACGTGCAGCTACCGTGGCAATTCGCGTTTGTGCGGGGAGGCTTTAGTCTTACCAGTCAAGTTGCCAGGCGCTTGCTTCCTCCCCCTCCCCTCCTTCCTTGTATCGGGGACGGAGAGGTATCAGCCCAGGAGACGGCTTTGCAAACCCAAGACTGACCTCAGGAGTTTGAGCTCTAGTTAGTCATCCGGGAGGTACCGGTGAGCTTCTGGGGGGTCAACAACGCAAGCCGCGCAAAGGGGCACGCGGCGCTTTGAGGAGCCTCCTTCCCCCCTCAAGACTCCTCGCTTGGCTCGTCTTCGCTGGCAGCGGCTGTCTCCTCGGTCTGAGCGCTTTCCCACTCGGCCTGACAGCTCAGTCTGACCGCTGTTAAGGTGGCTCGCAACCACCAGCTGCAGAATTTTCCCCCGGCCTAAAAATAGGCAGAAAACCAGCTGTACCTGGGTGGTTTCACCTATGCTGACTCTATCTTGGAGGATAAATGGGGAGATGGCTGTAGAGCAAGAGATGGGGAACCAGTCTTTTTTTTTTGATCCTCACCCCGAATTTTTGTGACTACACTGTATGGTGAAATGTCTCATGTACTAATGCTGAAAAAGAGCATGGGTCTGTTTACCCTCTGCAAGAGTCCTATTTAGACACCCACACCAATCCCTTGAACTGGGGAAAAGATTTATACCACCTGAAGAGAAACCAGAGTACTAGCTCAGCCTGGTATTAGCCCTACCTCCCAGCACTTCCTTAAATTCATTACACAGAAGTGAATTGCCCTCCCAGTCAATTCACATCCATTTGTTATTAGATTTCAATCTGGACCTGTAAACCTTAAGTGGCTGAAACCTCAGGCTGATATTTCAAGACCAAATTGTCATCAAGGATTCAGTCCAAAACTAAACTTCCATAAATTGGTTTGGAGAATAACTTTTTTCTTTACTGTGTTTAAGGTGTAATTTTATCAATCTTAACTCATCTGAACATGGATAATACTTCTGGCTGGCTTTTTAAAAATTTAACCAGTTTAAATTTTTGCTAAATATTCTGATATTCTATTGAAAAACGGTGGAAACTATTTTCTTGAGATGAAGGGGAAAAACGGTCAGCAGTCTTACTTTGCAGAATTCTTTGTGAAAAGTAGTGCATTCCAAACTGGGTGAAAATTGGTTCTAAAGCAAGTTAATAGCAACTATGTTTCTCTAAGATGTGGTAGCGTGTTTTGAAGCTTTTGATTGCCAAGTGAGCTCCCAATAGCCATATAATTTGTACACATTCTTGTGAGAGAGAGGTTCAACATTTGTTTTTGTTTAATACTTGTCCACCTTGGAAAAGTTTGCGGACCTTTCATTGGTGCTTCTTTGTGATATGTAAAATAGTCCTAGATGCAAGGGAACATGAACAGCTTCTCATGGCTTTAATGTCATGGCAGTGCTTCTCAACCTTGGTAGCTTGAAGATGTGTGGACTTCAATTCTGGGGAATTCTGGGAGTTGAAGTCCACATATCTTCAAGCTGCCAAGGTTGAGAAACACTGCATTATGGTGTCAGGACAGTGTTAGTGCAGTTACCATGATTAGCTTCTTTCTTTTTGGAATGAATAAAGGAAATACTTGGCTTTTCCTCCAAGCACTCCAGTAAATTCTGTGGTCCTAGGCCAGGGAGAGCAAAAGGTTCCTTATGAATGAGCCTCCATGAAAAACCTGCCGACCCACCTTGAGACTCAATACGCTGCTCATGATCAAATCATCTGTCTCCTCTCCATTCTAGTCTGGATTTGAACAATGGAAAATATGAATTAGTTTTTGCTGCTTGGCTTGCTTGTTTTCTGTGTGTCCACAGATGGTTAACATGTCACATGGCTGTCTGACCTCTGCTAAGAGACTTCTATCTTCTGGAATTAGGTAACGTCCTGCTAGAGTTAGGACATACAGCTGCATGAGACTACAGCCTACCGGCGGTCCTTTCTGATGTAGCACAAGACTTTTGTACTCCAATTTAACAGATGCTAGCAAAGAAGCAGTGAAGCATCTATTATACTGAATATCAGATGCTTTTTGAGGCACATGGATTACACATGTGCTCCACATTTTCCTCTAGAGCTGTTATTCAGATAAAGAAATCTTAAATAAAACTATAAAGATCTGCATATGAGAAAATTATTTTACAGGAGAAGCATAGTTTCTTTGTCTTTCAGTGATACACAACTCTTTATTTCAAGGAGTTAAGGTAGACACATGCCATTTTGTGTACTTTTTTATATTAAAAATAAAGACCTGCTAATGAATCAGAGGCATATATTTAGCAATCACAGTTAATCCCAACTATTAGTCTTAAGAATTCTCTACGGAAATCATCTGGTGATATGAGTTAACCTTATTCATAGCGGTACAAATTGTACCAGTGTGAAGATTTTGCTGCTTCAGCATGATGTGCCGCAATAAAAATGGGTGAAAAGTTGCATGTTTAGATTCAACATTAGCTATTTCCAAGGAATCTTCTAGAATTTCACCTGGTTTAAAGGGAAATATTAGGCAGTAGGTGATTATGATGACTTCGTTCCCTACTCCTGCTTGATCAACTGGATATAAAAAGCATTTGGAAACAAGATTAGATTCTCCATCACCACTTTATAGTTAACCATGATTTATAGGCATTCCTGCTAAAAGGGGTTTTTCCCAAAGGCTATGAGAGTGACATTCTGTTTGGGACAATAGCAAAAAAAGAGATTTCTACACCTATTGCAAACTACATAATTATGCAAAGATGTCCTTTATGTTACTTGTTGTGTCTAAGAAGTTTGTTCTAGAAGTAGGCAACTTGGGGTTCTCCAGATGGTTTTCCATCAATTCCTTGCCATAGTCCCTGGTTGGAGCTCCCTGGTTCTCTACAACTAAGGAGATTACTAGACATGGCTTCAAATTCATTTGGGAAGCAAACTGAGTCCCATATTGATTAGCTGATGGTATTAGGTGCTTTTCATCATGCCAGATCCTGTCTGGGTCTTCCTTCAGTGGAAGGATTTTGTGCAAGCAGGGAATTTTCTGTGTGGATCTGGAGCTACATCAGGCAGTGCATCAACGGAGAAGGCAAACAGAATCCATCCACACTTTCTGAGAAGCAATTTAGTTATTAACTTTGAATTTAGTGGGTGTATGGAAATATACTTTAGATGTACTAGTGCACATGGGGGAAAAGATGGCAAAAAGTAAATGCACAAGACACAACACCGATGTTCAGTACTACACACAATACAATATGAATACCTACAAAGACAATGCCTGAAATAAGTACAGAATACTTGCTAAAATATTTGAAGGCTTTGCTTAGTGAGGACTATCTTACATTCCCTCTTAGTAAAATTATAAGTGGCACCAAGACCTGTTAAATATTCAACATCAACATAAGTCATATCAGTTCACTTAGGCTTTTGGTTAAGATGTTCCTGCTGTTCATTTCTGTTCTGGACAGATATTACGTTGGAGTCCTTGGTGCTCTCTGAGCTTGGTTGTTTCTCCTTGGTTCCTTGATTAGGGATATTTCTATGTGTCTATTTATGGCTGATTTGTCTGAATGCCTAGCTTCCAGGAATTCCCTAGTGTTTTTGGATTTGGCTTGGATTTGGCTCACAATTTCCCAGTTGAAACTATAGTTTGAATCTCACATGGTTGAGTCTAGATGCATAGAGATAAACCACATTTACACAACATTAAAAAGAGACAATAAAAAATCTAAGAAGGAAACAAAAAGACCAGAACACATCCTCTCTATTACATCCAAATAAGCAGGGATTAACACCAGACAAACAATCAAGCAGAAAACAATACCCTAATAAGGAACTACCAAGGAGAAAACCACATCTCCACCAACACTGGCAGGGCAAGCTACTGTATATAAACAGAGAGCAAACTCCACACTCAGTGGTACTGATGATGTTACCTAGTTGGGTAATGAAACGTCTGCAAGCAAACAACCAATCTCAGAGAACACCAAGGACTCCAGAGTTCAACCCTAAGCTACATATATTCTCTTCTGTTGGGAGATATTACATTGTCTGATGTCTGAGAGGTTTTTAAATGCTTTAAGATTTTAAACATTTTAAAGTTTTTTTAAACTGAGTTTTGTTTTTAATTTATTGTAAAGTATTTCCTTTTATGTATTCTACTTTGCAATTGTTTTGAATGTAGATAAATGTTTATAAACAAGATTAAGGAAAGAAAATATCCTTTCTAATGCATCACTGGCATTACTAGGAGTTCAATTGAAATACATTTTGCCACAGTGGGAAAGAATGTGACCAGGTGATTGTGTGTGTGCTTAGACTGCCAGCCAAGTGCTTACTGTTGATTGGCTATATCAAGGCTCTCTTGTTTCTTATTTTTTTTATAAAAAATGTTAGATTGGCCTTGGGCTGGACAAGCCTTCAGAGGATACTATCAACCAGAGGATAGCTTTCTGACAGCCTATCAAACAGAGAAGTATCTTTGGGAAGACGGACATACAGCTACTCTATGTATTTTATCTTCTATGAGGTATTGATATTAAGTACCATATATATGATGTATATACAAAGAGAAAGAGAGATCCCTTTAACATAGTTATAAAAGAACTAGCTGTTTTATATTTCTTCAGGAAAGCATCTGATTTTAGAAGATGCCTAATGGCAATAGTGTTGCTTGGTACCCATTTTTCCATAGTTTTGGCATTACGAGACTAGAAGGAGATATTCAACATGACCATTCTCCTTATTTGACTTATATCATTGTATAAGACTATATGATTGGTTGCAGGGGATCAGGGCAGAAGAGGAAAAATGATGGAGTGACAAATGTTTTCACTTTGTGTACTGAATCCCCCCCCACTCCCGAGAGCTGGGTAGATTCTTCCTCAAATCTGTAAAAT